ATCTGCATAAAACATGGGTCGGTAGGAAAATGGCAACAAGAAAGCAGACAGCCATGCTAAAGAGTGACCTCTTTAGCACTATCCAGCCTCAGCTGATAGAGAAAGAAGAAACTCAGGGTAGGTGTTATCTAATATTCTGATTTTTCAAAAGCATCCAGAAATCTGCACTTTGAAGGGAATGATACCAATTTTTGAAACAAAGTAAGAGCCAAATTAAACATAACCTGCTGGATAACTTCAACACATGACCTCTATCTTTAGAATCCCCATTTCATTCTATCCTAGCCATCTCGATTAATGCCTTAACATTTCTTACCGTTTTATTATTTATTTATTTATTTATTTTGTATTTTAGGGAAGGGTCTACAGGTCTCACTACTAGATTCGACTCAGTGATCTGCCTGTTTACAGCCTCCCACAAGCTGGGATTACAGGCACACACCACCATGCCCAGACTCTTACAGTTTTAAAATAGGGCCATCCTAAAGGTCTCTAGAGCACTCCTCCTTCTGTTTCTATCTCTCCGTTTACTAGCTGCTGGGATGAGCTTCCAAAGTTCAAATTAGATCCTGTTTAAAAGTCCTACCAAGCATAGTGGCACACACCTTTAGTCTCAGCACTCAAGAAGCTGAGGCAGGATGAATATTGTAAGTTCGAGGCCAGCCTACACTACACAGTGAGCTCAAGGCCAGCCTGAACTATATATATATAGCAAGACCCTGTCTCAAAAAAGTCTTCAATAGCCCCCTATAAAACCCCTTTGCGCTACCATAAAACTACATGAGACATTCAATGTGCAGTTAAGTGCAAGCAATTCACTATGGATCACCCAATGAGAGCCTAGGACAGTGATGAAAAACTTTCAGTGATAACAAACAGTCAGCTGCAGCACTCATGTGACAGGTTTGCCACCAATTACCTAGGATTTTACTAACCAATTTCCCCCAAGCGATTCTGACACCAACAATCCTTGGATTATAGAAACACTGTTGTACAAGGTAGAATTCAAGGCCTTTGCCTGGTGCCCACCCTACTCTCCAGTTTCCTGCCTTGTTACTCCACATTTGTACATGAACACCTCATCTAATTTCTTGTAGTTCCCAGAAAATACTCTCTCTGGGCTCCATCACTTTGCACTCCATTGCTGTCTGCTGTGATGCCCCTTCTCCCTCTTCACCTGGTAATAGCCAGACTCTATCTTCCTACACAAAGCTCTACCTTCACCTCCATCGCCTATGAAGCCTTTCTCAGCTTTCACCTCTCCTCCAACCCAAACTCCCTGGAAGCTTCCTCCACTCTCCACAACTAATTACACTTACTATTTATAACTGTTTACTTACAGATCCAGATGGCACTGTTTATTTACACGTCAATATGCCCACATGGGTTCTTTGAAATCAGGAATTTCAGCCCAGTTTAACTTTGCAGTACCAGGGCTGTGCCTGACAGAGGTCCCTTCATAAATGCTTGTCTAACAAACACAATCAAACTTTATGAACCAGTAAGATGAAAGGCCAGTTTGGACTCTGGTTCTTTAGCACACCATCAAGATGCAGTACCTCTTTACAACTTCTAATGAGAAATTCACAATATCAATAAATTCACAATTATCAAGACTCCTACAATCAGAGTGTCATTGACAATCACATGAACTACCAAAATAGCAGAAACCAACTCATCATGACATTATATTCTCTCTTTTTTTGTTGTTTATTTTATTAGTACGTGAGGATAACAAGTAATGTTTACATTCCTGGTGGGAAGTTGACACATGCACACAACACATCTTAATTCTTTTTTCATCCCTTATACTTTCCTTTCTTCCTCCCTGAATTACTTGACCCCTTCCCCTCTGAGAACAATCTACTTCCTGTTCTGTCTTTTACTCTATTCTTGAAACCAAGCCAACAAGAATATTTCACACAGAACTTCTCTGAAGCAAAATGATACAATTTGAAACTGCTGCTGCACTATCAATCCAATGTGGGAAAACCCCTCAACTATAAAACCCATACAAAAGGATACATAGAGGGGAAGGATGACAATCCTCAGAAAGGTAGAGACCTTCAACATAACTGTCTGAAGCTACATTGTTTTTTTTTTTAATATTTATTTATTTTTATTTATTACATTTATTTATTGTGTGTGTGTGTGGGGCCAGCTCAGCCCACCAGGGGGCGGGTCTGGCTGGCATGTGGTGCTGGGGATCGAACCACGGTCTCTGTGCTTTGCCAAGCTTGTTTCAAGTAGGTGCTTTAGACCACTGAGCCATCTCTCTAGCCCCGAAGCTACATTGTTAAGCAACAGAGAATACTTGCAGTGGCAAACACTTTCCCATTCAAAATGCAAAAGTATCCTCCCAATATCCTTTGACCAGACTTCTAAAATGGTTAATGTTCTTTTCCATTTTCATTCCTTCAGCATTTCTTGAGTACCTACTGCTCATGGTATTGTGCTAGATCTGGTCATACTGAACAAGGCAGCTACTGGCCCTTCCTTACTAGAGCTCATGTCCTAACAAAGAAAGTAGCTAAAGCAGCCCTCAATAAATTATTAAAAGAACTGTTTAATAGAATGGAGTTAGGTACCACAATGCAGAATACAAGTGTTAAGAAAGTATGTAACTTAGAATCTATCCCATGCTTTCTTCTGTACTAAAAACCAACTGTCTGCTGTTCCTTACAAAAACCTAATTACATGTCTATGTGTGCTCCCCTTTCAGCAGCTCTTCTGTGAAACTGCCAGGTTTCCAACTGTAGCTCTCAGATGTACCTCTGGGGAAGATAAAGAAATTAAACTGGTTCAAAAGTAATTTTTCCATCACCTGCTTTCATAGTATCATTTTTTTTTTTGCATCTCTTTGCTGTATTATAAAGGGTCACATTAGGGAATGAAAATTCCTTTTGAGTGTTTTGATTGCTATTTATGAGGGGGAAAGGTTGTTTTAATTCAATAAGCTTATAAAACCCCTTACTGTCTCTGCAGATGGCACAATGGAAATGCAACAAAAGAAAGATCTCTGTGCAAGTCACAGTTCAGCAATATTAACCACACAGATTTTTCCTTTGGACACCCCAGGGTTCGTATTTTTAATATGAATGCAGTACTGAGTAAAGAACTCTCTACTATAAGAATGGTTAGGTTATACATTTCTGTTCCTTTTTTTTCTCCCCCAAAGAAAAACTTACTGTAACTAAAGACTAACATCAACTATATTTTAGTGAACACTGGACACTTGCTACATTGACCTTTGTTTGCTAGGATGACAGGAAATCTATCAGACAGGAACCCAGTCAGATAAGAGAAGAGGGCAGAGGGAACAGAAAAATCCATTGACAGGGCCAGGGATATAGGTCAGCAGCCTACGTGCCTGCTTGGCAAGCACTAGGTCCTGAGTTTGATTCTCAGTACTGAAAAAAAGAAAGACAGAAAGAAAAAAGAAAGAAAGAAAGAAAATCCACTGACACTTCTGACATATCTGGACAACTATCCAGCTGAAAATATCAGTTTAGAGAGAAGATTGCTTACAAGAAAACAGAAACCCTATTAGACACTGTTGCAAAATAAACAACTATTCCATTAGTATTTACTTGGAAAGCCAGATCCTAGTAAAAGAGAAAATATTTTACAAGTCAATATTTACAATGTTGAGCAGATAACAAAAAGGGCACAGAACTTAGGCCAAAAAGGAGGAAACAGCCTTCTAAACTCAAAGTGGTATAGTCTTGGCCTGAGTTTTTTAAAGAAGCTTTGGAATCTCTTTCCATCTATTGTTTTAAGTATCCGACAACTTTGCTTGAAAGCAGAGGAATGTTCTAAGGCCCCTTACTATCTCTTCTACTCCAGTTAAGCCAAGTCCTTTATGATTCTTCCAGTTATTCCTTCATCCCAACAAATGTTTACTGAATGCCTGACACTTAACAGAAGCACAGTGCTCAAGCCTTGAGGGCCTGTCAAGCAAGTCCCATTGCTTGGTCATTACATTTAATGGAAAGACACACTAAAGGATACCTCAGTGAGCAAACAGAACACTCCTAAGGAGAAAGGGGATACTGTACTTGAGGATGGCTCTTCTGAGAAGTTTAAGTCAAGATGTGAAGCTCCACAGGAAACAACGATGAAAGGCTGAAATCCCTAAGTCAGGCCTGAGCGATTGGATGTTAATTGAACAGTGCAGCAGAGTTAGAATGCAAAGGAAGTTTAAGCAACAGCATGCACTGAGGGTCCATTACCTGCTAGGAGCTTCTAAAATCCTTGTAACCACTCTTTACAGTAGAAACTCTTCTTCTCAGTTTATCAGCATAAAAGAGAGGCTGAGTGGGATTTAACAACACCACCACCAACGACAAAAATCGTACCCAAGGCCAAATAAGAAACGTAAATTTGGGATCACCTTTATATGTACTCGAAAGCTCACATCACACTCTTTCCATTACTCAGATCTTTCCCGTGCACATTTATTTCATTTGACAGCCCCGGCGCCGTGTGCTACCGCTGAGGAAGCCTCTTTTCTGGGAAAGACGTGGAACGCAGTCCCAGTTAAGGCCTGGGTCAGTCACTCTCCTCCACAGCCTCCTCTGCCAGAGGATCAGCTTTCCTCTGAAGTTGTATACAAGAAAGGCAGGTAGAAAGTTCATTCAAACGAAGGCCATTAAAATAATCACAGAGAAAACTGCATCCTTTTAGGGGGCTAAACAAGCAATCATCATTAATCATAGGTGAAAAGAGAAAAGAGAATTCTCCCACTCCACTATCCTAGAGAGCTCTCCCCAGGAAAAGGAAATCTCCCGGGAGCGTGCTGACCTGGGGCGATGGCCTAGGATGCTCTCACCCTCCCGGACCCCGAGCCCCTAGAATTCGCAGGACCCCGCAGAAACGCCCGCCGGCGAGCACCGGGCCACGCGGCAGGCACAAGGTGACACGGTTCTCGCCGGCCCCTCAGCCGCCTGGGCGCGGCTGGGGCAAGCAGGGAGAGGGGCATCCCCCCCGGCCCGCGCTACCTTGTACTTATCAAAACCAGCCAGCTGCTCCGGGCTCACGTATTCGTAGCCAGCCATGGCGACTCGCAAAACGAGAGCCCACTCGCCAGCGACTGTCCGCGACGAGCCGGTGAAGCCCGAGAAGCACACGGTGCGAGCAAGGTTGGGTAACACTGGGCTGGCCAGCAGAGAAGACAGCAGCCGCGCTCCTCCCACCGCGCACGCGTAGCTCCAGCCACTTCCGCCCCCTCAGCGCGCAAGCGCGGTCCCGATGACTCGCGCCCCGCCCCCTAGTGCCGTCGCAGCCCAATCGGCGTGAAACGGGCAACGCTAAGTCCCGCCTCGCAGCTCGCCTCATCGCTTCATTTGCTCTCATCCACATTGGTTAGCGGAGCATAAGGCAGAAGGGGAGACGAAAGGTCGTTTTCCCAGAGGGCCTCGGCGGTATCCCAGGGTAAGGTGCGAGTTTCCGTGGTGTCTGTACCTGGTGGCGATCTGCGTTACCTTTGCAGTCCAGCGAGTAGAGAGAGTGGGTGCGGCCAGGTCAGAAAAAAGGGCGTGATTCCCTCGTTGCAGTGAAGCAAAAGAGCAAAGAAAGGCCCGAACTGCAGCCCCTTTGGAGCTCCTGATAAGGTGCTCTGCATGAAGGAGGAGCTTAGGGAATGCGGCTTTAAGTAGCGACGGCTAAGTGAGCTACGGCCGAGGCCCATGGGCGGCTCGCTGTGCGGTCCCTAAAGAGATTTGACGAATGAAAAGGTATCAGAGACCAGCCCCTCGGATCAGCGTTGCTTCTTTTTATAATTTTTTTTTTAAAGTGCGGAACCAGGGATTGAACTCAGGCCCTTACGCTTGCCAGGGAAGCGCTTATTCCACTGAGCCATCTCCCCGACCCCTCAGCGTTGCTTCTGACGTGGGCTGCCTGCTCGCACTCTGTTCAGTCAAACCGTTCCAATTTCAGATTGCTGATGTCTCCAGTCCCGTCAGCCTGGAGGGATCTTTACATGCTTTGCAAATGTTTTTACATAACTGGAACCCAATTAATTGTGGAAGCAACTCCAGATCAATAGCAAGTATGTATCTAATAGTAAAATGTAGTAATAGTTGCTACTTTTTATTGAGTGACTCATATGCAGAGAACTTTACATACACTATCACCAACACCTTACAACGCTATGAAGTGGAACCTATTTTCTTCACTTTCCAGAGTAGGGAATTAAAATTGAGATGAATATAATACATTTAATACATCATTCATTAATGAGCTACAATGTAGCTCAGTGGTGGAGTGTTTGCATAAGAGGATCTGGTCCCTGGTTTGCATCCCCAGTGGGAGAGGAGATCAGGATTACAAAGCCTACCCAGTCACTTAGTTACACAGCTTGGAAAAGGTCAGCCCAAATGAAACGTGATCTGTGTTAAGGCCACTGCTCTCAATCTCCTTAGGTCTCTGGGGAAAGGCTGCAATTATTTTACCATCTCTTACATTCATTCATCCAACAGATACTCCTTAGGGATAAGGATATGCCAAGCACTATTACTCCGCTTGTGTCTTACCTCTCCTCCTAAACTATAAGATTATTATGAGGTAGGTAATAGATGTCAAGCATCTGAGTACAGGATAGATAATCTATACATTCAATGTTCTTAACCATGCTTGAGTGTTTGTATCTTACACATCTTAATTTTCCTCATATCCCATAGTCCTGTAGCTTGCAAATTACACACAGTCAGGCTATTCTATTGAATATGAATGAACAAAGATCTCCGATAAGCTATAAAGTGCTGCTACTGAAACAGACATGAGAAATTAATGCTTTTAAGAAGGAAATTGTACTTAGGTGTGGGGGAGCACTCCTGTAATCCCAGCACTCAGGAGGCTGAGGCAGGTGGATCACTTTGAGTTCAAGGCTGACTTGGGTTACATAGTGAGTTCAAAGCCAACCTGAACTACATAGTGAAACCCTGTCTCCAAAAAAAGTGAAACTAAATATATCTCCTTTATGTAAAATTGTATGTAAATTGGTGTTTTAATCATCTGTGAACTATTAAGAAAACTGAAATGATTTGCCTCTGTGCTAAATACAAAACTTTGGACAATTTATCAGTTATGCTGAGGCTTTTGTCCCAAATAATGTTCTACTATTTATAATTAGATTTTCTCCACTGTGTACCTCTTCTAATCAATACAGATATGATAAAGAGACAAGTACTCTATCAAGTGATTTCATACCAGCCCTGTGCTTGCCCATCTAAAATAGAAACATAATTTGGTTAATTGTAGAAAGCCATCAAATGTAAGAAGCTATTTCATAAACTGCATTTGTCAGGGGTCGGGGAGATGACTCAGCAGAATAAGCACTTCGCTGGCAAGTGCAAGGGCCTGAGTTCAATCCCCAGTTCTGCCAAAAATAAATAAATACATAAATACATAAATAAACTGCATTTATTATTAACTTCAGATAGAAGCAAACTAAAAAATGACATCTTTTATCTTTATCGCCCCCCGCCCCCTGCAAGCTTGGTTGCACACACATGTAAAGCTATTTGGGAAGCTCAGGTGACTTGAACCCAGGAATTTAAGAACAGCCTTGGCAACATAATAAGACCCTATTTCAAAGAAAGGAAGGGAAAGGAAGACGGAAAGAAGAAATGGAAAAGCAAAGGCAGGGAGAGAAAGAATTCCTACCTTCTTTTTTTAAAGCAACTTTTAATTTTGTGCATGCATCTATAATTTTCTGCCTCTCCTCTGTAGAAGGTTGTCCTAAGTTTGAGTCAGTAATAAAACCACCTGAGAATTTCTGCACTGAAACATGACATAGATCCTTGTTTGTATTTTGGCATCTTGTATATGCTGGCTACATGATCTCAGGCAACTTAGTTCATGTAGCCCAGAGCCATAGTTGCTTTGTTTTGTTTTGTTTTGAAACAGTCTCGATTTGTAGCCCAAGCTGCCCTCGAGCACCCAGAGATTCTCCTGCCTCAGCCTCCTCAGTGCTGAGATTATGGGCATGTGCTACCACCCTTGGTCCCCAGTTCTCTCTTAAAAGGAGGCCATCAGATTAAATCTATTCATTTCTGGATTCAGCAAAATTACGTATTTTCTAACTTCTCTAAGTTTGAATCAGTCCATCTGTGAAAAGACAATTCTTGTTCTGCTATGGTAATTATTAGAGCATGGGAAGTGCTAGTACTTCATCCTTCACAAGTATAAGATATTATTTCCTGAAGATGCTATGAATTCTTGCCTAGAGACAAAAAAAATTGCCAAACAAGTTTGGTTTTAGAATGGAATCAATTTTCTATATAGACTTCTCTGAGTTTGATTCAAGAGGCTTTTTATCCCAGAGGCAGCTCAGAGCTGCCAGCAGCTGCTTTTCATCGGCCTGGCTGTTGCTGTTGACACCTCATGCCACCTCTGCACACTGTACCACAGTATGGGACATACTTTAGTGTTGCTTTGCTTCCCTTGTCTGCTTCATTATCCATTGAAGTTTATCCTTTCTACATCTCAAACATGCATTCCCCTTAGGGGCTGGCCAGATAGCCCAGTGGACTAAAGCACCTGCTTAGGCGGAGTGCAGCAGCCTGGGTTCAATCCCCAGCATGCAGTGCCAGCCCCACCCCCACCCCCGGGGCATGCTGAGACTGCAATTGAGACTGGGATAGTGTGCGCCTGTAATCCCCGCACTTGGGAGGCTGAAAACAAGAGAATCACTACAAATCTGATCTACGTAGTAAGACCCTGTAGGCCCTGCAGACCATGTACTAAATGCATTTAAAAAAAAAAAAAAAGGACATACATCCTCCTTAGAATGACAATCATAAACCAAGCATGGTAGTACACACATATAATCCCAGCACTCAGGAGGCTGAGGCAGAAGATATGTTACCATGAGTTCAAGGCCAGCCTGAGTTACACAGTGAGTCCAAGGCCAGCCTGAATTACAGAGTGTGACTTTGTCTCAAAAAGCCAAAAACAAAACAAAAATAAATAAATATAGATTGGTAGTCACAGAAAATATAAAGTCATGCCAAAAATATTGTCATCTTTATAATATAACCTGAGAATAAAACTTAATTCCTGGATTTATTTTATTTAGTCTAAAATAAGAGTGTCAGATAAATGGAGTTATCTAGTAAATTGAAAGTTAAAGGACTAATATATGTAATGTCTACAGTACCTTATTCACATAAAAAATAAAGTTTTTCAGGAAGTTTGTAATGAAAGTATTGGTTTTGTTTTCATTTTAAAATTTCAAAAGGGTCGGGGTTTGATCCCCCAGCTTGCCATGCCGGCCCCACCCCTGGGGCAGGCTGAGACAGCAATTGAGACTGGGTGTGGTGGAACGCACACCTGTAATCCCAGTGCTTGGGAGAGTCACTAAGAGTCGGATCTATGTAGTGAGACCCTATAGACCTATGGACGTATAGACCTTATGGACCCTATAGACCCTGTCCTAAACAAATTTCAAAAGGGAATGAGGCATCACTAAGTGATAAACCACATATGCTTGGTATACATGAGGCCCTATGCTTAATCTCCAGCACCAGGACATAATAATTGTAAAATAAAAATAATGCCTTCTGAGTTCTATAGTTCTCAAAGCAATTTAACATCACCAGATCATTTAACAGCCCTGAGCTATAGGCCAAATGAGTGTTCCAATTATACAAAATGGAACAGTAGAAAAGTTGCATTTTGTCCAAAAGTTACCCAACTTGTTCATAGTAAAATTTAAGCTTTTCATTGAGTAGTTTTTACACTGCACCATCCTGCTACAAATTACCATGATAAGGTGGTTAAGAAAAAAAAAAAAAATCACAAGCCTTGTTTTTTACTGCTGGGAGCCAAATCCAGGACCTCACACACATTAAGCAAGTGCTTTATGGCTGAGCAACATCCCCAAGCCCATAAGTCAGTTTTTAATCAAAGGCTGGGGGATGAACAAGGTAAGAACTGAAAACAGTAAGTTGCTTATCATTTCTTAAAAATGGAGTTACCAGGGCTGGGGAGATGGCTCAGTGGAATAAGCGCTTCCCTGGCAAGCGCAAGGGCCTGAGTTCAATCCCCGGTTCCACCAAAAAAAAAAATCTATCTTTAAAAAATAAAAAATGGAATTACCTGGCTATAGTAAATCTTCTTTAGTAGAGTTTTGCCTACCTGGTTTTTGCTGTATTTTACACTTTTTTGTA